CACACAAACCGCAAAATCACTTACTAAACAAAAAAAAAAAGGGTCAGAGATAATCTCCAAATGTAGGCATGAGAACAAGTACCTATTATCCGAATTCATACCAAACGGATAAAACAAACAAACCACCAACAATCACAATTTAATTTCTGTCTCCAATCCCTTGAAACATTACTATCACATCATACCATATAAACCCGTTATTAAATTGAACTACCCTCTCACCCAGCACATTGAATATTAAACTAAACATCACCATATAAATTAACCAATAAGGATTACAAATTTCTACCTGTTACACATACACAGTCACCAAAAAACAAACAAATAACCAGCTTTAAATATAACAAATAAAGCCCCATTTTTTTTTTTTTTCAAAATTTAAAATAAATATAAATAATAATAATCTTTACCTATCATAATTTTACATAAACCCCACCACACGCATATACATACATGCGAGGAAATATTTTCCAGCTGGAAAATACATATGACATGCACACATCAACATCTCTCCAGACATTTCCGTCACACTTCCAATGTTTAGATTTCAACATTTCAACATACAAATGCGTATGTATAGATATAACACCACCCGCATACATACATGTGTCATAGCCGAAACTACCACATATGTTTATATATGTATGAGTCCCGACGGACGACCAAATGTGTATATGTGTCTGCATACATCGATGTTTGCGTTAGTACGATGAATGACAAAACGACGAAGTTTCCCCACCACTTCCACAATAACACCAATACACGCAATCTACATAAACCCCAATTTTAAAACATTAATCAGTTTGTCTGACGATCGCTAAAGCGTGAAACCCAGGGTCACAAACTCACATCTATCAACCAAATATATATATATATATATATATATATATATATATATATATATATATATATATATATATATATATATCAGGTCATCTCATAAGTTCCGTCTGAATTTTAACTTTTTTTAAAATGAACGAAATTTAAAGAGTATTTTATAATGTCTAATGGAGCTGAACATTATTTTTATGTTTAGATGCATTTAAACTGATCAAATCTTAATAAAATAAGAACAATAAAATTAAATTTTGTTTGATTAAAACCCTGCTAACATGGAAGTACCCAAGAATCATTTGAGGCACATAATGCTTCATGAGTTCAAGAAAGGAAACTCAGCAGCCAAAGTGGCTAGAAACATTCACTCAGTTTATGGAGAGGAATGTGTGAATGAAAGAACTTGTAGAAGATGGTTTGCAAAATTCAGAGGTGGAGATTTCACCCTTGAAGATGAAGATCGAACCGGACGTCCAGTTGAGTTTGATGAAAAGCTTCTTGAAGCAGCCCTTGAAGAAAATCCTGCTTTATCAATTGAGGAATTGGCAGTGGTTCTCAGTTCAAACCATACAACTGTTCATCGTCATCTTTAACAACTTGGAAAAGTTCCTAAACTTGTAAAATGGGTGCCTCATGAATTGTCTGAAATCAACCTCAAATCCTGTGTCGACATCTGCTCTTCTCTCCATTCTCACCAACTTGTTTCACCTTTTTTTGGATAGACTTGTGACTGGCGACGAAAAATGGATCTTTTATCGCAATGTTAAGAGTAGTAGACAGTGGCTTGGTAAAGGGGAAGGACCCCAGCCACAGCCGAGAAGGGAACTTCATGGGCAAAATGTTCTTCTTTCAATCTGGTGGGATCGCCAAGGAATAATCCACTTTAAATTCTTACCACCTAATGCAACAATTAATGCTCAAATATACTGTCAGCAATTAGAGCGTTTGAACCAAGCTTTGAGGAAAAGAAAGACCTTCTCTAGGGAATCAAAAAGAGGTGATGTTTCATCAGGACAATGCGTGACCCCACACAGTAAGAATAACGTCACAAGAGATCGAAGAATTTGGTTGTGAGAAAATTTCTCATCCACCTTATTCTCCCGATATATTACTTCAGACTACCATTTGTTTCGTAGCTTACAGAATCATTTGGAAGAAACGGGTTTTGTAACACAGGAAGAGGTTAAAACTGACATTTGTGAGTTCCTCGAATCAAAGCCAAAAGAATTTTACAGTAATGGAATTAGTAAGCTTGTTAAAAGATGGAAGGAAGTCATAGATAATTAAGGAAAATACATTGTTGATTGAATCTGTAATTGAATGTAACATTTGGTCACTTGTTTTCTTTATTCAAAATTCGGACAGAACCTATGGGATGACCTGATATATATATATATATATATATATATATATATATATATATATATATATATATATATACAGTAGCGCCCGAAACTAAGGGACAAATTTTAAAACCTAATATTTGTTAGAAATAACAACTGTGAAAAGCTGAAATTTTGACAACTGGTAGTCGTTATCATCCATAATAACATACTAAAATTTGAATCATTTGCAAAGGATAGAAAAAGAATTATAACAATTATTTATTTATTTGGAACGTCCAAAAGTAAGGGGCAAAATTGAGAAAAACAATGTAAACGGCAAAAAAACAAAAAAAATACATGTACAATCAATATTTAGTAAATGAGCCCTTGCTCTCAATGACAGCTGCACATCTTCGACTACAAGAACGAATCAGTTCTTGACAATACTCGATACTAATTTTAGACCATTCTTCTTGAAGCTTCACCCACAAATCCTCCGTGTTAGTGGGATTTCTTTCCATAACTTTCACTCCTAAGGTCTTCCAATGATTTTCTATTGGATTTAAGTCAGGACTTTGCGGTGGCCAATCCATAATTTCAAAATCTTGCTCGCTAAGGTAACTCATTACCACCTTTGTCTTGTTACATGAGGCATTATCTTGCATAAAGGTAGCCCTATCGAAACCTGAATTCTGTATGATTGGCACAACATGATCTTGAACAATGTTTTTATAGATCTGCGCGTTTACACGAGTTTGTAACCGGACAAGAGGCGTTGTACCTTGGCTAGAAAACATTCCAAATACCATGACGCTTCCGCCCCCAAACTTGACAGTTTTCTTAGTACACTTTGCACTTAATCTTTCACCAATACGTCTCTTTACATTGTTTTTTCCATCATTTCCAAATAAATTAAACTTGCTTTCATCACTGAAAAATACTTTTGCCCAATTTTCATATGTCCAAATAACATACCTGTTTGCAAACTTTAATCTCTTCTTCTTATTCTTCGAACTATCAAGTGGTTTCTTCCCTGGGGTTCGATTAAACAGCCCTATTTCTTGCAGTCGTCTACAAACAGTCTATCTTGACACATTAACACATGAGGTACTATTCATAACCCTTTTAATTTCTGTGCAAGACTTAAAACGGTCCTTTAATGACATACGCTGCATTATTCGATCTTCTCTTGCCGAAGTTTTGCGGGGTCTGCCGGTTTTAAAAGCACTAACTATTTTGCCAGTATCATTGTAGGATTTAACAACCCTGCCTACAACACTCTTGGAACGTTTCACTTTCTCTGAAATCTCTCTAATGGTGTGCTTTTCCCTTGTGTAGCTTCACAATAGCTTGTCTCACAGAGTAATCAAGTTTTGGCGTTTCGCCATGGTGCCGGCTGATGCAACGTTTACAAATGACTAAGTAAGACTTATTCTTTAGAGGAAATCAAAAAATTTGGATATAGCATACTGTTTACATTGTTTTTCTCAATTTTGTCCCTTACTTTTGGACGATCCTATTTTGAAAATAAATAAATAATTGTTATAATTCTTTTTTTATCATTTGCAAATGATTCAAATTTTAGTATGTTATTATGGATGATAACGACTACCAGTTGTCAAAATTTCAGCTTTTTACAGTTGTTATTTCTAACAAATATTAGGTTTTAAAATTTTGTCCCTTAGTTTTGGACGCTACTGTATATATTAAAAAGAAGAAAGAAACCACAAACGTTTTTGGTTGTAATGTGGAATTCTTAAAAAAATATATTTTTATTTTCCATTATGGAAAAATAAAGCATAATATTTTTTTTAAAACTCAACATTACAACCAAAAACGTTTGCGGTTTCTCTCTTCTTTTAAATATACACTTTTTTCTCTCGTTGGAACTACTATGACATCTTCCTTTTATATATATATATATATATATATATATATATATATATATATATATATATATATTTCTTTTAATACTTTCACCCCAAGAAAAATGGAAGTACCACTAGAAGATGACAGTTGACGTTGCATTTGAATGTTTGAAGATTGTAGTTATCAGGAAGTTCCACTGTCGGGGAGAGCGAGAAAAGAAACTGTTGGAGTAGAAGTGGTGGTTACATTTAACTATTTCAACAGTAAAAGGGTGGGGCCTAGATACCAATCTTGTAGTACGCTTAAATTCATGTAGTCGGGACACCATGGAAAAAAAAAACTCACCAGAGCAGTTGCCATGAAAATATTTATACTATTAAAGGATTACCATTAATTTGATCATTACCATTGATTTAACCATCAGAATTACTATTAAACAATAAAACAGAAGAAATACGCTTGTTAGATGTCTCATCTGAGGTCAGGAGCCATTTAAACGTTTGTGAAATGAGCGTTTTTTATTGACCAACAGTGTGCCACAAGGTTATTCGCTGACAAGCCATTAACTTGTTATATACGGTCAACATTTTGTGTGCAAGCGAGTTGAATGTATCTTTAGCTTCGAGCCTTCTTCAAGACACTTTAATTAAACGCCATTCTTGTTTATGTCAGGATTAAAGGAAACATTGTCTCTCAAAGACGATGACATATTAAAATTTCTTTACATTTAATTTCACCCCTTCATAAACACGCATCTGAAATATGAGGCACTTTTATGGCTGAATTGCTTCAACAGAACACGTAGGCTAAACACTAAAATAAATTGTAATATCATTTGAAGAAAGCATAAGAACGTTTGTTTTAGAGATCGCTTGTAGCCAACAAGAAATTTGGGCATCAATCAATTTTACAGCTTCGTACTCAGTTTGATGTTGTTCCATTGGCATCAGCCATTTAAACCCACACATACACATGGATACATGTACGCAAACTCACACAATTTTGTCTATCTATCTATCTATCTATCTATCTATCTATCTATCTATCGTAATATGTTTATCTCTCCCTCTTTTTGTGTGTGTATAAATATATATTTATATATATATATGTTTATATCTATCTATCTATCCATCTATCTATCCATATATATGTTCATGTCTATCTATTTATCTATCTATCTATCGTAATATGTTCATCTCTCTCTCTATAATTATATATATATATATATATATATATATATATATATATATGTATTTAAATAAAAAGAAGAAAGAACATTTTTGAAACATGGTTAGAACTGTGTAGCGGAAAAAACATATTTTAAATCAATTAATATATATATATATATATATATATATATATATATATATATATATATATATATATATCTCAATCTGTTGATATCTATCTATCTATCTATCTAGCGTAATGTGTCCGTATCTATAGAAAAAAGATAAAATGTAAAGAGCAAGAATGAAAAAGAAATAAAAAGAACGAAAAATAAAGACAAGAAATTAAAAGAAATAAGAATAAGATAAAAAATATGAAAGACAAGGAATAAAAAGAACGAAAAATAACGAGAAAGAAAAATAAATAAGTAGAATAAAAAAATAACATCAGGACGACCTTCAAAAGTGGTTCAACACTTCGCAGACATCTACTCCGAGCAAGACCGCCTTAGACGGGAACATAACTAAGGACTGTGTGTACCCCATCCTGTGCAGCTTTGGTAAGAAATATAAAAGAGGAACAAGCCGCCCTCTTAAGGTGAAACTGCAAGAACACTGTAAAGCCGTAGCTCGAGGCGAAATAGAAAAAAGTAGGCGTAGCTGATAACACATGGAGGAATAAGAGAGGTCACCGCCTCCCTGTGGGATGAGGTTGAAGTAATAAACAGAGAACATCACTAGAATATAAGAAAGCTTAAGGAATCAGCACATATGTTAGGCCACAAAAATCTTCTAAGCCGACCAAATATGGAAATGAATACAATATGGGAACCAGTAATACGCAGTACCAATAATAACAACAAAAATTGCAATATGAGTTCTGGTAAAAATGTTTACTGAGTCCCCAAAATTCATACACTGATATACTCAATCTGTTCTGTGAGTTTCAGATTTTCCAAGCCCTCTTTCCTCAATATGTGTCTGTCTCTTCCTGATGTTAAATATAAGTTTCCGTTTTGTTTCGATTAAAACTTCGTCTTTGCTCATATTTTCGGCCAATAGCACTCTCAGCATCCTTCTGTAGAACCATATTTCTCTTGCTTCAAATCACTTCCGTATCTTTGAGGAGACCGTCCAGAATTCACTGCCATATTAACTGACAGATATTGCGCAACAGTTAAGCACTCTTTGTTTCGAACGAAGTTTTTTTTCTGTTTCTTAATACTCCTCTTAGTTTTTGGAATGCATTATTACAATGCACCTTCGAATTTCAATGTCAACCTTTCTGTCCTCTGTTAAAACACTTCCCAGATATTTAAAGTTCTGTACTTGTTTGATTTTATTATCCCTGATTAGTAATTTGCATGTTGGGCCCATCCTTTTGCTAACAGCCATGCATTCTCTTTTCTTGCAGTTGATGTTTAATCCTTTTCTTCTCACTTCTTTTCACTACCTTCTGTAGGAGCTCTTGTAATTTTCTTTCCGTGTCTGCTATCAACATTGTGTCACCTGCATATCTTATGTTGTTTAAGATTGTGTACCGCCAATAAGGAATCCTGGTAGGACTTCTATTTCAATCAGAATTGCCTCGCCGTATAGGTTGAATAGATCCGGTGAGAAGACACATCCTTGTCTTACACTCCTTTCTATTTTTGTATATCTGCTGAACTCATTTTCTGTCCGTATGCAGGCCGTTTGTTGCTAGTATAAATTCTTGATTATTCTAACACCCTTTCCAGAAATGTCAGACTTGCTCAGCAGTTCCAACATGTTTGTGATGTACTTTACCGAACGCCTTTCTGCAATCTATAAAACACAGGTACACGTACATCTGTGCTTGTATCACTCTTTCTAGGAACATTTTGAGCATACATATCACGTTCCTGGTTCCAGTGCATTTGACGAACCCGCGCTGTTCGTGTCCTATTTCAGGTTTAATTCTACTGAGTGCTACATTTATCAGAATTCGCATATGTTTTTTATATGGCTCATTAGGCTGATTATCCAGTGGAGTTCACATTTGCTTGCGCCTGTCAGCTTATGCAGTTCTATGAAAATAGATTTGTTTACACCTTCTGGTATATCACAACTGTTGTAGATTTCATTTATTATTTCTATAATCTTGTCTATGTTGAAATAATTTAACACTGCTAGCATCTCTGTTACAATTACGTCTGGCCCTGCCGCTTTGTTTTTGTTCAATTTAGCCAGTGCAGATTTCAATATTTTCGGTCCATCTATATTTCTGTGTATTGCTGGTTGTTCCCTTTCGTCGTCGAAGAGTTATCCACTATATTCGAAGTATTTTTATTTCTCCAATATCAATGTTCCGTCCTTTGATTTTTTGCATCCTGATGAGGAGCATGTTTTTGTCCTGTTAGTTCTCTTATTTTTTGATGCATATCTGTGGGACGGATATTTTCGTTTTCTGTACATTTTTCGTTGAGTCATTCCTTTTTAGCCTGCTTGCATTTGTTTCTTATTTTTTATGTAGTGTCCTATATTCTGTTCCATATCTTGAAATTGACTACTTTTTATCAAGTCGAAATTTCATCTGTCATCCATTCATTTCTTTCTTCGTCAATTTTCCTTGGAGATGATATCGATTGCTGATGTTATTAAAGCTTTTTCGAGTTTCCATTTTCGTATTGTTCCTCGTTTGTGCTTTTCACACTTTCCAAATATATCTCCTTTAGTTTCGTGTTGTTCAAGAGTCTTTCGTATTGCAATTTGGTTTTTGCCTTAGGCCTCGTGAATTTACATAGTTTCACATATCACTTTAAGGTGGTCGATTCCACAGTTGACACTTGGATATGTTTTGCAGAGTTAAGCTGCAATCCTGAATCTCTTGTTGATAGTTATACAGTCGATTTGAATTTTGTTTCTCCTCCCGGGTTTCCCATGTCCATATTTGTCTTGGGTGTACTTGAAACCTTGTGTTGGTTACTACGTTATCATTCGCCGCACATCATTGGATCCATTTTCTCCGCATTAATTACGAGTTACTATTCTATTTGTCAACTATTTTATTATGACATTGAGTTTAGGCGTTGTTTAGCGTAAAGTAAAACTTTTCAATTTCTTCCTTTGTAATTTATGCAGTCGGGGCATAACAAACTTCGGTGGATATGTTGAAAGTCTTTCCTTTCAATTTAACCACAAAAATTATTTCAGTTATTTGACAGTACTCCATTTCTTCATGTCTTGATCTAATATCAATCCTACTCCTCTTTCATTTTTCTAACTGCCTGTATATATGATTCTGTGTTTGCCCACCTTGTTTTGCTTAACCGTCAGTCAGTTATATGCTATGCGTAATACACGCTTAAGCGATCATATATCTTGTGATACATGACTGACGAAGCAGATTTTTTCCCGCAGTAGGTTGCCATTTCTTTCTGCGGTAGACCAGTTCCCATCCAAGGCTATAGGACCCGGTCTGTCCTGCTATTTACAGGTGTACAGAAAGTCACGAGAGAAAAGCAAGACACTTTTCCCCACGGGCGACTACATCTTATAGCCAGAGTTGTAAAAGTTGAAAGAGAATGAGTAAGAATATGATTTTATAGTTATAGGCTTAACGAGCGCACACCTACCAGTGATGTTTTTGCTTAGGAAAGTCAAGTGGTATAACCCACAATGTTAACACTTGCTGGGTGACGTTTAGGGGACACCAGTCGTTGATGTCTTCTCTTGGTGAGTGAAGGATCAATTCCAAAGAGTTCAAACCTAAGACATAAAAGAATGAAAAATGAAACAAAAAAATAAAATAAAATAAAAGAAATAAGAAAAAAAAGGGAAAATTAAAAATAAAGAAACATAAAATAAGTAATATCAGGGACATAGCAGAGACAAATGTTTTGGTAGGGTAAAAAAATTCGAATTTAGCCGTAAATTATCAACGGCCTCCAACATGGTTAGCGTGTCAGAAATGAAATAACATGTCTATCTTATTTGAATAAAAATATAGATTCATTAATGAAGGAATTTTTTTTTACTTATTTTTTTTTGTTTGGGTCTGAAAAAATAAAACATCTACAACAAGAACATTTATCAGCTATTGTTCCATCCGTATTTCAAAATTTTATGTTTTATTTTATTGGGCTCACCACAATTCCAAATTCAAATGAAAATGCACCCATGCAATAAAGGGAAACTAACCATCATTGTAGACATTTGAAGAAAATTTCTTTCATTGGGGTTTTATGAAAGTGATATTCTGCCTTGCTTTGATAGTTTTTCATTTTTTGATTTTCTTTCTTTATTGTATTTTGTTAAAATAAAATTCTATAAAGTTAACACAGTTGGCAAAGGTTTTGGGGGAGCCCCCTCTCCAGCTCCTATGGCCCTGAATATGAATAACAATAGGATTATATAGCAAAATCAGCATCAAGATAAAAGAATGCCGTTTTGATACAACGTTTTATTTGCCGTGTTGTATGTTAAACTTTGCCAAGGTCCTTTACTTGAATCCGTTTTTATATCAGAATGTTCGCAACATTTGTTAAGAAAATATCTTCTCTTTAGATACAAGAATCCAGAAAGTATAATGTCGATTACCCTTTAACTTCATCACGTCATTTTCCATTCCTGCTAAACTAGCTGGACGAAATGACGGATAAGCATTTCCATGTTTAACCAGATGACAAACTATTTTGCTTTCATGTGATACCTTTAAAAAAAAAATGTCTGCCAGTTGGCACAGATCAAAAGCAAATCAAAGGGAGATAATCAATGGAGGAATGCTGTTCTTTGTCCACGCCGAAGTGAACTATTGTTACAATAATGATGCAAATATCATAGAAAACTTTCTGCCGATAATCGATGATCATCGCTCTCATTAGGAACCGGGGGCTTCAGGGGAAAAAGAATTCCACC